CACATGCCCTTTCTGCCCAAAAAAAAAAAAAAAAAAAAAAAAGTTGTTGCAGTGTGATATTCCAGTAGCATGCCAACATAGAGTTAAATCCCAGACCAGCTGTGTTCTAGATGTGCAACTTGGGTATGCAATAATTAGCCACTTTGAGCCTTAGTTTCCATGTTTATAATAATAATTCCCATTGTTATCAATTTATCCTGAGGATAAAATTAAAAAGTGAATTTGAATATGCAGCATAAATTAGAAACTATTAAATTAATGTTTGTCAGTATTGTAATAGTAGTAGCAATTTTTGTAATGTTGACGCATTTATAAAAAGGCATTATCACTTTAAAGGATTAAAAATAAAAGATAGACTTACAAAGCACAAGATGAATACATATTCAAAGCTAGAATTCTGAGAGAAATTCTAAATGTCTTTTTCATTCTGAAGCAAGCATCTAGATCCATTTTGAAAACTCCAATCTTCCAGGAAAAAAATATTATTAAATCAACTTTTAAAACATGAGTCAAATGAAAATTGGAGAAGATGTGCAACAGAAGTTTCAGTACTAAAAGTCTGACTTAATACGGAGAAAGAGATCACACAATTGAAGAGGGATGAAAGTGGTTGCATAACTAACTGGACTATTATATAAATTGTTCTTTTGGTGACTAAGCAGCACTTGAATCTTTCCAATTGGAATCTTTTAAATTTTTCGTGATCCTATGTTCAAAGCACAACTCAGGAATGATAAGGGATAATAAAAGCAACAGTAATAATAGGTACCACCTGTTGGGCAAAAGGCACGCAAAATACTGTTAGGTATCTCCCGTATGCTCCTAATTTAGTCGCCACAAGCAACACTATGAAAAGATTTTGACATTTTACAGATGGGAAAACTGAGACTGAGTTTAAGGCAAGTGACTTAAAGGAACTCAGTTTCCATTTTTAAAAAAATCAGTTTTACTTACATTTTAACTACTTCCATCCATTTCTAGCAAATATCTCTTCATAACTGAAGAAAAGATATAAAATAGATTTGAATTTAGAATCCCCCACCCCTCTTCCACTCTCTGGTTAGAGAACAAATGGAGGGCTAGGTTGGGATCAAAAAGGAGTTTGAGTAAGGTACTAACTTACCAGCCATTAGTCCTTTAATAGCTGCGCTGACGGTATCCAGGTACCACGGCCACTGTCTTCCAGTTTAATTTTGAATTCCTGAAAGGATGATCCCACGAAATTGTTCAGGAAGTTATTCTCCTTTTTGGATTTTTAGAATATACTATTAAAAATCCCCCTCCAAATTAAAATTGGTGATTTTAGGTCTACTTGGGGTATTCTAGTTTTGGTTTTGTTTCCAGTATTCATCTCGTACCTCTGGTCTCAGTGGCAGTAGCAGAAATCTCCACTGTAACTCGCCAGCTCTACTGAAGCTTTTCCACTTATCGGATGCCAGCACTTGTGTATGTCTACAAAGTGAAGAAGCTGATTTTAAATGGGGTTTTGTTGTTGTTTGTTTTGTTCATTTATTTGTTTGTTTAGTCCTCTCTATATCATCTTATCATGTGCATTAAGCTAACTCCCAATTGAGAGCAGGGAAAACCAGTTAACAAGTTTGTGAATTGTGTTCTCTTATTCTGAAAATCTTTCTCTTTTGATGTGAACCCTGCAAGTTCATAGAAACATGCCTTTAAGTGAAATTTGTGCAGACCTCTATGCAGACTTTAAGGACATGGTTTTTTTTTTTAATATGAAGAAAATGATCAAGAGAGTTTAACTTATGTAAGCAGCGGGTACAAAAACCTACTGATTCCATAGTTCAAAATAATGAACTATAGAAAAGTATAGTTTGTTATCTAGTTAACTGTTATTTGCTGCTGTGGTTTTAAACTCAAAGAAATTTTTTTGGCATCAGTACCATGTATTTATACTTAGTGGCCTTTTTCCCCACCTATATTGTAAAGCCCCATAAAGCAGGAAATAATGGCTTCTACTCAAGTACCACTCCTCAGACAGTGCTTCTCCTCTACTGGGCTTTCCAACAGCAGCAGACTCTCTGACTTACCAAACAAAATCATAGGTTCTGTATCCAAAGCAACCACAGGAGTGTCACTAATCTTCACCAGTTACCTGCCTTCCTCTGCTCCAGCAGAGGGAAAGCAGACATGATCAGTGAGCAACTCCTAAAATACTTTGGGGAACTTCATCATCTGGTGACTGTCCTGTCTGGAAACTGCTAATGTATAAGATCAATACGTCTCTAGAATGGCAATCTCAATTTCTCACTTTTATGTGAGTGGCTTTATTATGCTATTAACTTCAAGAACAATTAAATGGCCAGGACATAAAGACAAGTATCTGTTGGCTTCTTTCACTTTTCAGAATATGAAGTTATATCCAGAGAAAATGGGTCATTCAGTGGGAAGAACAAGTCTGTCCAAGTTACAAATCAAACCTTCTCCACAGTAGAAAATCTGAAACCAAACACAAGGTAAGCCACTAGAGCTATTCCATGTAGATTTTGCGAATACAAAAGTCATAAGCACAACAAAAAAATCAAATTATGTATCATCTCTGTCTTAAGAGGTGTCTGGCTTGCAGCTCATCCTTTGGCTTTCTGTGCATGGTACTAGATTCCTCTGGAGTCATGCTTCGTAAATATGCAAAGTATTAGTGAGGATAAAAGAGCCAACAGGATGGTCTTTTAAGTTAACAGTAGCGGTGACAACATAAAATGTAGAAGGCCGTCGTACCAAGTAAGAGTACATGATGCAAACATGAAAGCCACATGACAAAAAGTAGGTGAAAGTTTTTTATAGTTAATACTTAAAGTAATTATAGACTAGTCCCAGACACAGCAATGCTTGGCTTTCAGGATCTTTCACCATCAAAAATGAGATTGGAGTTTTGACAGTAGTTATATATTTTAACATTATTACATAATAAACAACTTTTCTAGGTATTTATTTTTTTATTGTAATATAGTTGTACCTCACATATCTGTGGGGTACTGAGTTGAATATCAGTATCTATGTGCAATATGCCATGCTTGAATCAGGATAATTAGTATATTCAACAGTATACAATGTAATTGTTTTTCATGGCCCTTTACCAGTTCCTCCCTTTATCTCCCTCTCACTCCCCCTTTCCCACATCTGGTAACCTCAGTTCTGTTCTCTCCTTTTGAAAGTTCAAAGTATTATTGTGACTGCTGTAACTTTTAATTATTTATTTATTTATTTTTTATCTCCCCCTTATGGGAGAGGATGCGGTATTTCTCTCTCCCTGACTGACTTTTTTCACATAACATAATTTTTCTCTTAAATTCATCCATGTTGCTGCAAATGGCAGTATTTCATTCTTTTTCAAGGCAGAGTAGTATTCTATTGTGTGTACATACCACTTTTCCTTATCCAATCGTCTGACAATTAGGTTGGTTCCAACTCTTGGCTCTTGTAAATAGAGCTGTGATAAAGATGGGAGTGCAAGTGTATTACTCTGTTTCTGTTGCTTTTGTTCTGTAACAAAATATACAGAACTGTGTATTGTATAAAGAAAATGTGATTTATTTGCTTACAGTTTCTGAGGCTGGGAAGTCCAAAGTCCATCTGGTGGTGGCAACAGTGACCCAGGGGTCTCACATTGCAAGATGGTGGAAGCAGAGAGAGCAGAGAGAGTGAGAAAGACTCTCCTTTCTCTTCTTTTAAAGCCCTCAGAACCATGTCCTTGACCACCAGTTTTAATCCATTCACTACTGGATGATCCTACAATCCAATCACCTCTTCAAGGCTCCAACTTTCAATTACCGTAATAGGATTTCCCACGCTCTTAACAGTCACAGTGGGGACTAAGTTTCTAATACGTAAAACTTGGGGCACACAATTCAAGCTCCAGTGAGTTTTGGAGGGACATAATTCCATCCACCACAGCAAGCATCCCTCCAACAGGATGATTTCCATTCCTTTGAGTATATACCCAACAGTGGAACTTGGTCATATGGCAGTTATTTCTGTAGTTGATTGAGGAACCTCCATACCATCTTCCATAATAGCTGAACCAAATTGCAATCACACCAACAGCGTAGAAGGGTTCTCCTTTCTTTGCATCCTCACTAGCATTTGTTATTCTGTCGTTTTGATAATAGCCAGTCTGAATGGGGAAAGATGATATCTTAATGTGGTTTTGATTTGCATTTCCCTGATGCTTAGTGATGTTGAGCATTTTTCACATCTGTTGGCCATTCTTATATCCTCCCTAGAGAAATGCCTACTCAGCTCCTTTGCCCATTTTTTAATTGGGTTGTCTGTTTCCTTACTGTTAAGTAGTTTGAGTTCCGTGTATATTCTGGATGTTAATCCTTTGTTGGGTGCATAGTTTGCAAATATTATCTCCCATTCTGTAGGTTGTCTTTTTGCCCTGTTAATTCTTTCATTTGCTGTACAGAAGCTTTTTAGTTTGATATAATCCCATTTGTTTATTTTTCCTTTTGTTGTCTGTGCTTCGGGGTCATGTTCATAAAGTCTTTGCCCAGTCCTACTTCCTGAAGTGTCTCCCCTGTTTTGTTTTTTTTTTAGGAGTTTTATAGTTTCAGGTCTTATATTTAAGTATTTAATCCATTTTGAGTTGTGTTTGTTATATAGTGAGAGGTACAGGTCTAGTTTCATTCTTCTACATACGGATGTACAGTTTTCCCAGCAACCTTTACTGAAGAGGCAGTCTTTTCTCCACTGTATGGTCTTGGTGTCTCTGTTGAGATCAGTTGGCTGTAAGTTTGTGAGCTGATGTTCAGGTTCTCTATTCTGTTCCATTAGTCCAAGAATCTGTTTTTATGCCAGTACCTTGCTGTTTTGGTTACTATAGCTTTGTAGTATAATTTGAAGTCAGGTAGTGTTATGCCTCCAGCTTTTTGTTTGTTTGCTTGTTTTGCTTAGGATTGCATTGCTTTAGGTAGTGTGGACATTTTCACAATGTTAATTCTTCCTATCCAAGAGCATGGGATGGCTTTCCATCTTTTCATGTGCTCTTTAATTTCTTTCAAGAGTTATTTGTAGTTCTCATTGTAGAAATCTTTCAACTCCTTGATTAAATTGATTTCTAGGCATTTTATTTTGGGGTGACTATTGTAAAGGGGATAGGTTTCTTGATTTGTTTTTCTGCTAGTCTGTTGTTGGAGTATAAAAATGCTACTGATTTTTGCATGTTGATTTTGTATCCTGTAACTTTAATGAAATTGTTTATCAACTCTAAGAGCTTTTTGGTAGAGTGTTTAGGCTTTTCTATATATAGGATCATGTCATCTGCAAACAGGGACAATTTGCCTTCATCTTTTCCAATATGGAAGCCCTTTATTTCTTTATCTTCCCTGATTGCTTTAGCTAGTACTTCCAATACTATGTTAAATAGGAGTGGTGAGGGTGGGCATCCTTGTCCTGTTCCCACTCTTAATATAATTCCCATTCAGGATGATATTTGTGGTGGGTTTGTCATATATGGCTTTTATTGTGTTGAGATACTTTCCTTCCTTACCTAATTTGCTGAGAGTCTTTATCACAAAGGGATATTGAATTTTGTCAAAAGCTTTTTCTTCATCTATTGAGATAATCATATGGTTTTTGTCCTTGATTTTATTGATATGGTGTATCACATTTATTGACTTGTGTATGTTGAACCATCCTTTCATCCCTGGGATGAATTTCACTTGATAATGGTGTATAATTTTTTTGATGCGTTTCTGTATTCTATTTGTTAATATTATAATGAGGATTTTTGCATCTATGTTCATCGAAGATATTGGCGTATAGTTTTCTTTTTTTGTGGTGTCTTTGTCTAGTTTTGGTATCAGGGTGATGCTGGCCTCATAGAATGAGTTTGGGAGAATGGGCTCTGTTTCAATTTTTTGGAATAGTTTGAAGAAAATTGGTATTAATTCCTCTTTAAAGGTTTGGTAGAATTCAGCAGTAAAGCCATCCAGTCCTGGGCTTTTCCTTGGAGACTGCTGATTACTGCTTCAACATCATTGCTTGTTATTGGTCTGTTCAAGTTTTCTATTTCTTCTGGGTTCAGTCTTGGTAGTTTTTACGTATCCAGAAGTTTATCTATTTCCTCCAGATTTTCAAATTTGTTGGCATGTAGTTGTTTATAATAGTTTCTAATGATTCTTTGTATTTCTGTGGTATCAGTTTAATGTCTCCATTTTCATTTCTGATTTTTGTTATTTGTGTCTTCTCCTTTTTTTTAGTTAGCCTAGCTAATGGTTTGTTTATTTTGTTTATCTTCTCAAAAAACCAACTTTTCATTTCATTGATCTTTTGTATCATTTTTGGGGGTTTCTATTTCATTTAGTTCTGCTCTGATCTTAATTATTATTCTTTGGATGTAAGCATTAATTGCAATAAATTTCCCTCTTAGTACAGCTTTTGCAGTGTTCAACAGGTTTTGGCATAATGTACCTTTATTTCATAAGTTTTGAGAAATTTTTTTATTTCCTGTTTAATTTCTTCTTGGACCTGTATATCATTTAGAAGCATGTTGTTTAATTTCCACGTGTTTGTATGGTTTCCAGAGTTTCACTTGTTATTGATTTCTAGTTTTAAACCATTGTGGTCTGAGAAGATACTTGAAATGATTTCAGTTTTTCTTAATTTGTTGAGGCTTCATGTGTGATATAATGTGTGGTCTATCCTGGAAAATGTTCCATGTGCTGATTAGAAGAATGTATATTCTGTGGTTGTTGAATGAAATATTCTGTAGATATCTTCCAAGTCCAATTGGTCTAAAGTTTGGTTTAAATCCTGTGTTTCTTTGTCAATTTGTTGCCTAGATATCTGTCCAGTTTGAGAGAGGTATGTTCAGGTTACTAGGGATGTTCAGATCACTAACTATTGTTGTATTCGGGCCTATCTCTTTCCATAGGTCCAATAGTGTTTCTTTTATATATCTGGGTGCTTTGATGTTGGTTGTTGTATTAGTCAGGGTTCTCCAGAGAGACAAAATCAATAGGATATGTTATAATTATATGAGAGGGATTTATTAGGGGAATTAGCTATGAAGAAAAGTCCCACAATAGACCTTCTATAAACTGGATGCCAGTAGCATGGCTCATCCAAATCCAAAGGCCTCAGAACCAGAGAAGCTCATGGTGTCTTTGGTGTAAGTTCTGGAACCCAAAAGCTGAAGAGTCTCGAGCTCTGATGTCCATGGACAGGAGAGAAGAGTGTGTCCCAGCTCCAGCAGATCAAGAGAGGAAGCAAGAGAGAGAAGCAAGAGGAGAGAGAAGGTGCCAGGGTCTTTTTAAGCAATGAGCTCTCATGGGAACTAATAGAGTGAGAACTCATTCATTAATCCTCCCTCCTCCAGGGAGAGCATTAATCCATTCATGAGGGATCTGCCCCCATGACTCAATCAGTTTCCAACACCGCCACATTGGGGATCAAATTTCCATATGAGTTTTGGAGGGGACAACACATCCAAACTCCATCAGTTGTATATATG